CTTAGATAATGATGAAGCCCTACTCTGCAGAATACACATGCCCTTTTACATCAGATATCCTGCAGCTGGTGTGGATGTGACTAAAGATGCTCAGCTGCTGAGAGAGACAGAAACAGCCCATATACATTGACTGACTGCTGTCCTGATTTGTCCTGAAGGGCTCTGATTCATTCTTCTGACATGACATGACTACTCCTTTTGCTCAAAAACAAAAAGGAAGCAGACCAGTTTGGTGTTGATACACAGTGTGGATGACTCTCGAAACATTGCCCTGAATGAAAGAAGCCAGACACAAAAAAGTACATGCTGTGTGATTCCATTTATTTGAAACTCTAGAACAGGCAAAGCTAATTTGCAGTGATGGAAGACAGATGAGTAGTTGTCTCAGGCAGTGGTGGGGGGTGAGTGACTGCAGTGGGGCACACGGGGCATTTGGGGAGTAATGACAACATTGTCTATCTTGATCGTGGTAGTGGTGACACTGGTGGATCACTCATGTATACATTTGCAGAAACTCATAATACTATATAGTGAAAACAGATGCATTTTGTTGTATGTAAATTATACCTCGTTAAAGTTGGTTTTAAAAAAGAAAGTATACTATTTTAGACAATGAATGATGTGGTTTCTCTACATATGCGTGAAGACAGAGATTCAGGGCTGCCATTGCTACTGTGGCCGCCAGGAGATCCCTCCTGCTCTCCTTTGCCATTGGCCCCATCCCTCTTCGCCTGTGCTCTGTGCTCACTGGACGTGAGGGACACACACTCCTCCAGTGGGTTCCTGGCCCTCTTGTCCATGTGGAAGTGGCATACTATGCAGCAGGCTGCCAGAGAACATGTGTCGGGGCGGCCTCCCTCACTGCTTGGGATGAGATCACTCTCCTTGCTGTTTGATGGGGCTCAGTCTTGTCTACCCTCCAAGGAGCTATAGACGAGGTTCTCCCCGGAGGTGCCCAGCCTGTGCACTTTGGCTGCCTTCTCACCTGAAGACCAAGGGCATCATCATTGTGCCGCACACTTGTGGCCCATCTGAAGCACTTCTGCTGGGAAGCTCTGACCTAGGAAAGGTACCCATGCCTGTTCCTAAGTCTTACTCGTGAGGTCAGAGTAGAAACGGGGAGGATCTGACATAAAGCAAACAAATAAGCATCTATTTCTTGGTCCCAGGGAATTGTGGGAGGAAGAAGGAGGGAGGACGGGAAATGGTGGACAGTGGAGGGTGGTGGCAGGAGCAGTGCGAGGAGAAAAGGAGTGGGAGGGGAAGGGAAGTGAGAGTGGTCAGCTTCTGGGCTTTGGTCTAGAGAATTTTTGGCAAACTTTCCTATAAAGGGCTGATACTAACTATCTTAGGCTTGTGGGATCATATGGTATCTGTCACAACTATAAATTGCCATTGCAGTGGAAAAGCAGCCAAGGACAATGGGTAAATGAATAAATGTGGTTATGTTCCAAGATAACCTTATTTATGGATGGTGAAAGTGGAATTCATGTAATTTTCATGTGTCACAAAATGTTCTTTAGATTTCTCCTCAACCATAAAACATGTAAAGACTTTTTTTTTTTTTTGAGACAGAATTTTGCTCTGTTGCCCAGGCTGGAGTGCAGTGGCATGATCTCAGCTCACTGCAACCTCTGCCTCTCGGGTTCAAGTGATTCTCCTGCCTCAGCCTCCCAAGTAGCTGGGATTACAGGCGCGCACCACCACTCCCAGGTAATTTTTGTATTTTCAGTAGAGATGGGGTTTTTAGGCCAGGAGCCACTGCGCCCAGCCTAAAAAATGTAAAGACAATTCTTAACTCCTCATCCTCATAAAGTGGGTGGTGGGCTTGATTTGGCTATTGGGGCATAGCTTGCTAACTCCTGATTTAGAGTTGAGTTCTTAGTGTGGGGGGTCCTGAGGGTGGAGGACTTATGGAAAGGTGTGGCTCTTGGAATTCTGAGTGTCAGCATAGCTAAAGAAGCGATCACATTTAGCTTTTCTAGGATGTTTTCAGTTCCTGTGTGTTTTGGATGGAACCCAGAAGTTCTCTTAGCCCCTGGAGGCACTAATATATTTCATTTGTAAAACTCCCATCCGTAATATAAATGTACTGTTTGATCTTCAGTCATTTGAATTTGACTTTCAAAGAAGTTTTTAGAAATCATTAGGCATGACATAAGTAAAATAATAAAAGAGGGTCATACAATGACATCAATATGTGCTTGGAATGCTTGGAACCAATAGTTATGAATAATCAAATTCTGTGTTTTTGAGAGCCTAAAAACAAGGTGTGTGTGGGGTGACTACCTGGATAAAGTGTAGGGTGGGAACCCCTCCAGGTGCTACCATCAGTAGCTAATTTGACAGTGGAACGAGGGTGCACTGCAGTCACTTCCCCTGGTACCGGGTCAGGCATGCCCTGTGGGAAGGGCTGGGATGGGGCCTCTCTCTGGCCATGCGTGATACTGAACACCTGCACACCTTCAGCAGGTGTGTCCTTTAGCTCTGACCACACTGGCAGGTATCCATGGCCAACTCTGCTTTTTGCTCGCTGTCTTCTCCCTCCTGAGCCCCATGTCTTACTCTCATTCTGCATCCTTGGATCCTTCCTCCCATGATTCCCTTTTCCTCCTCCTTGTTACAACACATTCTTCTTTATCTTTATCTTGGAGGTTTCTGCTGAAATCAGGAGTTGTTACTGCAGAGTGGTGCTATTGGACAGCTCCCAGCCCTCCCACTGGTCACTTGGTGGGGCTCTCCTGGTCCCGCTGTTTCTGAAGTGAGTGTTGGAAAATGGCAGTTTGGCTCAGGAATAATAAGCTGGCTGGGTGCAGTGGCTCACACCTGTAATCCCAGCACTTTGAGAGGCCAAGGCAAATAGATCACATGAGGCCAGGAGTTCTAGACCAGCCTGGCCAACATGGTGAAACCCCGCCTCTACTAAAAATACAAAAATTAGCCAGGTGTGGCGGCATGCATCTGTAACCCCAGCAACTTGGGAGGCTGAGGCATGAGAATTGCTTGAACCTGGGAGGCAGAGGTTGCAGTGAGCTGAGATTGCCCCACGGCACTCCAGCCTGGGCAACAGAGCGAGCCTCTCAAAAAAAGGAAAAAAAGAAAAAGGAATAGTTAAGCTGGATAACAGCCCTGGTTCCTTTCCCTTGCTCCCCTGCCCCGGCCCAGGCAGCCCTGACTGCTGGTCTGTGTGTTACAGTGGCCTCTTGGGAGCTGGCTGTCAGAGTCCTGCTCCTGATGTGCTGTGGCTATGGGAGGGCTGGCCTCCCTGATTTCTTCTCTGCTCCCTTCCCTTGCCCCCTCTGCCCTTCTCCATTCACTAGGCATCTTCTCTGTGGAGCCCGAAGATTGTAATTTTGGGCTCTCAGGCCTGTACTCCAACCCAGGGGCTGTGCCATGCTGTGTGTGCTTCATAGCTGCCCCTCCTGCGCCTAGTGCAGGGCTGGGCCCAGAGTGGACCTTGATAACATTTGTTGTCTGGAATTGAATCAGGAGCTCTCTAGTGGAATCTGCCCAGGCCTGGCTGGGAACTGGGAGCTGTAGCCAGTCCGTACTGCCCTGTCCTCAGGGGCCCTCATTCACTGAGGATGCCTGCCTGTTGCTGCACTGCAGAACATTCTGTCATGTTTACTAACAAGGAATCCAGGGGTGGAGCAGGATGGGGACCAAGGAGAGAGTCCTGTAACACCACAGGGCAGAGAGGAATGGAGATGGACTCAGGGACAAGGTCAGGATTACAGAAAGGGACTTTGGCAGGAGCGTTGACACAGGGCAGGGGCAGAGAGGGCAGGAAGCAGAGGGCAGGGGGAGTGAGGTGTGAGTTTCCTGTGGGGCCCTCTCTTCCTGGGCAGGAAGGAGAGAAGCTAGGTTTCTCCCAGGGAGAACCATGCCTGACAGGCATATGAGAGCTCCCTTGGCATCCCTGGGCACTGATCACGGAGCACTGGAAACTCAGACTCTTGCCTCTCCTGGATTCTTATAAGAGAGGATTTCAACTCTTAGATTTTGTCCACTGTGGGCGCCAGAGGATACTTGCTGTGAGAAAGGGCAATTTGGGGTGGAAGGAAGGGGATATCTCTGGGCCCCAGTGTTTTGTGGATTGTGTGAGGCACTTGTGAGGCCTTGGAAAAATGATGGGCTGAACCGCAACAGCATGGGCCTGGCCTGAGCTGACACTGCTGCTTGAGTCTTTAACACATTTATTCTTTTATTCATAAAGGACATTAAAAGGAGGCCTTTCAGCATCAGGTTATATGAAGGACAAGCAAAATTAGGATAAATATGGGTCATCTCCCTGGAGCATTAATTTGATGTGAACATTGGTGGGGAATAGCACCCCTAGCTATGATTATATTAAAACAAATATACACATAGGAGTAAAATGCTGAATTTGAAGATATATATTTAAGGAAATAGGGAGCCCAGAGAGAAATTTTGAGTTTTAGAGGCATATTTAGGCAATGCTCTCAGACCCTTGGAAATCATGTTCTTTCCTCTGCCTTTAGCACTGTCACTTTGTCTGCATTTCACGAATGAGAAAAACAGGGTCTGGAAGGGTGTGTCAGCAACTTGCCTACGTGATGACACAGAGCAAGGTGGTAAGGGTGGGACCGGAACCTGCATTGCTGGGCTCTGCATTCAGTATGTTGTCTACTACACCATAGTGAATTGAGAGTTTCATGCTTTAGTATTTTGATTTCAGTAATGCCATGGAAATAATCAAATCTCACCTGTCTGAATAGTCTTTGGGCACAGCCCCATGTTTCAAATCAATCATGTCTAGAGGGAGGCAATGTGGGGCAGTGGAAAGAGTTAGGGGCTGAAAGTCAAGAGACTGGAATTTATCTTTGACCAGTTCTTTCGATAATAAAGCTCTGTGACTTTAGGCAAATGTCTTCATGCATCTGGGTTTACCTTCCCTATCTGTAACATGTGGTAACTACACAAGATACTGCCAAACAGCCTGGTCTTCTATGATGTGGGACCACTGCTTGCCTTTCTAGAACCTTCAGACCTGTAGATGTGCTCTTCTTGGACATTCTGGAGTCTCTGGGGGAAAGGGAAGTCTGCAGCTCAGTTGGCCACCTCTGTGTAACAAATACTGAGAACACTGCACGTGAAGCCTAGACAGGGTCTGGAAGATCAGCCTTCTTCAGGATACCTCCATCCTTTGCTATGGATCATCTGCCTAGGAGGTTGGAAGCTACTCAAACGGCTCAAGGAAAAGATGTTGTGAGCATGCACCAGGTCATGAGATTGGAAGAGCTGTCTGCTCCTGGCCTGAGGCCAGTACCCAAAGCTGTCCACATCTCCCAGGGATGACAGTGCCTTTCTTCTTTACTGCTTTCTCTCTCCTCTCATCCTGATTGGATTCCTCTGCCTGTACACAGTCAACTTGGCTACCAGCTAGAGTGGGAGTAACTCACAGCCCCTGAGTCCCCTCCAGAGAGGGCTGTCAACAGGGCTGGCTGCTGAGCTGGGGAAGGTGGGATGGTCTCACTATCCCGTATGTAGATTTCACTTAATCTCCTTGCTTTCTGGACAGTGCTTCACCTTTACCTTCCTCTGTGCCAGATATCGCTTATCCTGGGTCTCCCTGGATCAATTTCTCCAGAGATGAAATTATCAATAGCCTACCAGGATAGGCAGTGCAGGGATGGCAGGAGTACTGGGGTAGGAACACTTTCTTATAGACTTCTGCCCTATCCTCCTGTTTTCAGCCCCATTTCTCACCCCGGCTCCAATGCATGAGGCTTTGTGGGGAATTCCCATGGACTCTTTTTTTGATCCTCTTCTTTTCTCTATCTATACACTTTCCCTAGTTGATCTCATCTAGTCCTAGGGCTTTAAATACCTTCTATATATCAATGATTCCCACATATTTATCTTTAGCCTCGATAGCTTTCCTGAATCTCAACTACCTACTCCTCCTGGACATCTCCATTTGGATGCCTAGCATCTTAAACTTAACTGGGTAAACCCGAATGCTTGATTTTTGCCTCCAAACCAGTTCCTTCTTAGTATTTCCCATCAAAGTCATGCTTATACACTGAGTGGCTGAAAGCCCAAACTCAGGATCTTGCTTTCCTTCTCCTTTCCCATTTACTGTGTCAGCAAGCTCTGTCCATGCCTCCATGGTATATCATTAGTGAGTTTCCATTGCCACTGCTGACTGCTCCTGTCAAAGCCACTGTCATGTCTTGCCTGGGCTATTCCAATTGCCTCCTGAGTGGTTTCTCTGCTTCCACCATGGCCCTCCAAGGACCCACCTTCCGCACAGCAGCCAAACGATTTCATTAAACATGTCTATCAGGTTATGCCACTCCTTTGTTTAAAATTTCCCAGTGATTTCCTGTTGCCCTTAAAATAAATTTTACACTTCTTACCAAGGCCTCTGTTCCTCTGCAAACGCTCTCTTTTCTTTTTAGAGATGAGGTCTCACTCTATTGCCCAGGCTGGGGTACAGCAGCTTCTTCATGTTTTACTGCAGCCTCAAACTTCCAGGCCCAAGTGATCCTTCTGTCTCAGCCTCCCAAGTAACTAAGACAACAGGCATGAGCCACCTCACCTGGCTAATTTTAATTTTTTTAATAAAGGTATTGCCCAGGCTGGTCTTGAACTCCTGGCCTCCCAAAGTGTTGGGATTATGAGTGTGAGCCACTGTGCTCAGCCTAAACTCCTTTTTTTTTTTTTTTTTTTTAAATACAGGCTTCAGTCACTCTGGCCTTTCTGCTTCTGTCCGATTCCTGCCCCAGGACCTTTACACTTGTTCTTCCTTCTGCGCAAGAAAGAAGACCGCAGCCACAATCTTGATGTTCACTGCAGCCACAACTCCTCATCACACAGGCGCAAGCTCATACATTCTCAGAGAGGCTCTCTTAGGCTATTTTACTAAAGTAGGCACCCCTTCTCCCAAATCATTTGCTAGACCAGCAGTCCCCCACCTTTTCGGCACCAGGGACTGGTTTTGTGGAAGACACTTTCTCTAGGGATGGTTTTGGGATGAAACTGTTCCACCTCAGATCATTAGGCACTAGATTCTCACAAGGAGCGTACAACCTAGATCCCTCACATGCGCAGTTCACAATAGGGTTTGCACTCCTATGAGAATCTAATGCCACCACTGATCTGACAGGAGGTGGAGCTCTGGTGCTGACGTGAGCGATGGGGAGATGCTGTAAATGCAGATGAAGCTTCCCTTGCTCACCGGCCCACGGCTCACCTCCTGCTGGGCAGCCTAGTTCCTAATAGGCCATGGGCAGGTACTGGTTCATGGCCCTAGGGACCCTGCTCTAGAACATCACTTTGTTTTGCTTCTCTTGAAAAATTCATAGTAGGTATCATTATCCAAAATTATTTTATTTATTTGTTTACTTGCATACTAGCTAACTCTCCCCATTAAAAAATGGACTCTATGAGAAAGGGTCCTTGTCTGTATTGCTCATTTTTAATATCTTTATCTACTACAGTGCTTGGAATACAATAGGTGCTCCATACATACCTGTACAATAAAGGAATGAATGACCAGTTAAGCTAAAGGGACTAGGAGCAGAGGCAGTTCCTGGAGAGGGGGTTGTGGGTAGAACAGGCATTCCCCAGAGTGTCTCTTGAACTTTTGCTTCATTCTAGGCCAGAGTATGACACAAAGTCTTCCAATTTTATAAAGGGTCAGTGAGCAGAAATTGAAGGGAAAGGTGAGGGCAGGGGCAGTGGATGTGGGTAGCGTGGCACGGCTCAGTGAAAGTACAGTAGGTGTTGCTCTGCAAAGATTTTGCTTTATTCTTTTGTCCCAAGCAGCACAGCTTTTCCACTGTGACATTCTGTGACTTCTCATGCAGTGTTGTTTTTACAGCATTTGGGTAATTTTCCACATGGTCAGCCAGCTCCATCAAGTACAATGGTGAGGAGTGGGACTCAGAACTGCTGGGAGGGCCCTGAGACCATCAGACAGGGAAGATGCGTGTCATTTGCATCCAGCACTGTCTCCCAGCTGCCCTTTGTGAAGGAGGCTGCTGGACTGTGACATACAGGATGTTCCTGTGTAGTTCTTTTTAAAGAAGCATATTTTTCCTCCATGTTAAAACTAAAATCTGTGGCCTATAGCTCAGAGCAGATGTTAAGAGCACATTCTCTCTAAGAGTTTGGGCTGGAGTGTGGGCAATGCTTACTTATCACGATTTCCTTTCCTTTGTGTTTCTCTGTGCTTATTGAAGTTTTTACCTTGGGGGAAAACAACAAAAACAAAAATTGCGATATATTTATGAACAAAGAAGAGAAATAAAACTTTAACCTCTGGAAGAGAGGAAAGAGGGGAGCAAGGTGCCTGAAAATATTTCCTTTAGGAGTGACTGGAGGCTCCAGGGAAATCACAGCCCTCCTGTGGAATTTTCACAGAACTAAGGAAGGCTGCAGTCAGCCAAACTTTTGAAAGCTCAGCATCCTAAATCCCAGCTTTGCTGCCCTGAGAAGAGTACCAGCCAGCGGAGCCCTGGAGGCGGCTTCCCCAGGACCTCCCCCCTCCCTCCTGATGTGCCTGCATTCCTGGAGCTGTCATCACCTCTTCTTTAGCTCCTTAGAAAAGAGGTGGCAGGAGAAAAACGCTCAGTCATCTTGCAGAGACTTGGCATCTCTCAGCCACACATTCTTATTAACTTAGTGGCGCAGTCGGCTGGCAGGTTCCCCGGTCATGTTCTCAGTGACTGGAGTTCTTGCTGTTTCTTGGACTCCTTCATGTCTCACCCAGTCCTAAGTTCGGTCCTCGCTTCTTAATTAATTCATGTCCTTGTGTAATATGTGGCACACCCACATAGCCATGGGGCATGTTCAGGCTATGTTTTGTAATGCTCTGGCTTGTTCTACCCTTGCTAAGGGGGCAAGGACAGCAGTTACCTGGTTGGCTTAATTTGGGCAGCAGAACCTACACATTGACTACCTGCTGGAATCCACCTGGCCTAGGCATCTCTCTTGCTCCCTCTTTTTAAATAAAAACAAGTGTTTCATATTACCATATTCAGAGAGGGGTTTTATTTCCTCCTGAACTCACAAAGGTCAGTCCAGAATGACTGTACTGACACTAGGAGATGAGAACTATACAAGTGAAATTAAGCAAATGTATAAACACAAGATCATCACCAAAAGGGGGAAGTGCTGTTCAGTTACTGATGCCAGTCCCTCTTCTCTAGGGGACCCTGGCAGCTGTAGCCAGATGTGGCCAGGAGTTCATCTCTGTCCTAATTCTGTTAGCATCCTCTTCATTTATAGTCTGGTTTTGCTTCTACATCTGCTTCTGCCTCTCAAGCTGTCTGCACACCATACTGTCTGCATTAAAATGATTTGCTTTCTTAAAATGAGTCTTGGCCCAGGCACAGTGACTCACATCTGTAATCCCAGCACTTTGGGAGGCCAAGGCGGGTGGATCACCTGAGGTCAGGAGTTCGAAACTAGCCTGGCCAACATGGTGAAACCCTGTCTCTACTAAAAATACAAAATTAGCCAGGTGTGCTGTCACATGCCTATAATCCCAGCTCAGACAGGAGAATTGCTTGAACCCAGGAGGTGGAGGCTGCAGTGAGCTGAGATTGCACCACTGCACTCCAGCCTGGGCAAGACAGAGTGAGATTCCGTCTCAAAAAAATAATGGGTCTCAATATCAATAGTGGGGAATTCTCAGTGTCTCCATCAGCAGGTGCTGAAAGCTTACAGTAAAGGAGAAAATTTTCAATAGCTATTTTTTTAAAGAGATGGAGTCTTGTTCTGTCACCCAGGCCAGGCTGCAGTAGTGTGGTGATCACGGCTCACTGCAGCTTTGACCTCCCTGGGTCAAGTGATCTTCCTGCCTCAGCCTCCCAAGCAGCTAGGACTACAGGTGTGTGCCACCACACTCAGGTCATTTTTAATATTTTGTAGATATCTCACTATGTTGCCCAGGCTGGTCTCAAACTCCTGGTCTCAAGCAATCCCTCCATCTTAGACTCCTGAGTCGCTGGGATTATAGGCATGAGCCCTGCTCCTGGCCCAGTAGCCATGTTTTTGAGGAGGTTTATTTTTATTCAGTATGTTTAGCTCTGCATGGGTTCCTTAAGATA